GGCTTTTGAGCGAGCTTTGCATATTCATTTTTCACCAGTCGGGCAGTGGCTGCGCTTGGTTTGTTTTTCGTACATTGTTTGTATGGATATCAAGGTCGACATAGCACACGCCACCCTGGCGAAACGCACGGTGTAAACTTGGCGTGCCTCGGCTCGACGTGATTTTTGTTCCAGAGCGTTTTCCCTCTGCCTTTTGTTGCTCGGCGCAGCGGAGCCACGGCAGCCTGTTGTTATTCATGCAGGCCTCCCCCAGCCAGAGTGCGGAGTTCAGCATATTCCATCAATCGCTGAGAAACTCACGCTGCCCCGCACGATAAGTGCTTGTCAACATAACATTTAATGGTGATACAGACTAAGCAGCGTTTTAAAAAAGACCCCCGAACACGCCTATCCAGCCGAGCGGCTAACTGGCTAAAACTTAGTCCAGTCGTTTCTAAGCTAACTTAACGTTCGCCGTTACCTGAGCTATTGTTGGGGATTTGGTGTCTAGCACACGAGGGTGGTATAGATGTTGTTTTGAAAATGTGTTTTGCCCCCCCCCACCACTCGTACAGAAAGCACAATTCGATTAAAGTTGGGCCGTTTTTCTTGAAACTTGAAGTGGGAGTTGTCAGGCATCGGCTGGCACTGTTCTTCTCGGCGGACTGTTAATCTCCTCACAACTGTATAAATTACCCAAACAATATTCATTGCCTCTGATAGACGGATGTTTGGGAAAGTTGGTTTATTAGTCCCTGTACGACCTGCTGTGTGGCCCGTGTTGTGTCTTGGGCAGTGTTGAATTCAAAGCTTGTACCTGTGTATCCCCCCCAGGCACAGGGAGGGGTGGTGAGGCCCACTTCCGGAAGGCCACAGTAATAACAGGCAGGGCATTCTTATTCTCTCAGCCGGGCAAGACACAGCTTGATGGCACTGTTTTTCTCCTAGCTGTTACAATTTAGTCCAATGTAACGCTAAGCAGAATAGTCACTGTTAGTGTCTGAGTCACGGTATCTGTTTTGTCAGCCTTTTTCATTTCTTTATTTGGCTTACTGTGTTTACAGCCATGTCGTTGGTGTTTGGGTGTTCAACTGAATATTTGTTTGTAAGATTACTCAGATGTTTGTGCAGAGTCGGCCAATTACTTCCAGATTTTAAATTGTAACACAGGCAAAAGGCAAAAATGAGGTGGGAGTGGTGATGGAAAGATCAGTTTTCAATATGTGTAAACTTTTGAGTACAGACTGTGGAAGGCTTAGCTGGATTTAGAAAAGTCAGTTCAGGAGCCAAGTGTATGTTCTTTTTTTTTGTTTAACATGTATCTCTACAAAGAAACAAATCTGTGTGTAAAGATCTGTTGTGTTCCCTGTTGTGCAGATAGACCCTTTTTACACTGTTTGTTGTTTGCACTGTTTTGACCTCTAAATTGGTCCACTTCAAAAGTTGTATCACCTTACAAGTTGTGATAATGGTCTGTTTTACAAGCTAATTGTCTTGTTACAAATAGATATAAAGTAAAAGAGTATATGACTATATTTCCCATATAGTATTATATGTATGCCGTAAAAATTTTAATCCTAAGTAGTCTTCAAATGTTCGTTTCTTCATTCTTTTTGTTTCTGACAAACGTTGACTGTCTGAAAATATGTTAATTTATGTAAAACTCAACAAATTTATTAAACAAGGCACCTTAAATAAAAGCTGAGACATAATTCTGATTCCACACTAAAGCTACTTTTCTCTTTTAATCAGTTTTACAGTTCCACCCTCATTCCAGTCTTGTAGTTCCATCATGAATATTCATGGATGTAAACACAGTTGTTATGAATAATGCATTGCCCGCTGTAATAAATTCAGGACATGCCATCTCAAAGTACAGAGAAGGGCCTCCATGAAGGCTCCAGTCAGACAAGCCTTTTCACTGTGGAGGGAGAAGGTTTTGGATAATAAGAGTTTTGTGGCCCTTCCTCAGGACTGAAACTGCTTGTTTCTAGTGAATTCTATTAAAATGAGTCAGTCCTGACTAAACAATGGCATGTAAGAACGCTCAAATTTTGAATACGTCAGATATTTGCCCAAAAGAATGCCCATTATCTATGCTTTTTTTTTTTTCTAAAGAAAAAGCAAATCACATCCAACTTAAGCCAGTCTCTGAATTGGGTATCATAAAAACATGCTTTATAAAATACACTTGGATGAAAATAAAGATGGACTGGTTATAATGAAAGGGGCTCGTGGTTGGCTTACAAGTTGTCGCATTCACCAAGCAACAACTAGCATGTTGTTTCTGATAGTTGTCATGTGTCTGACATAATTAAGATCACTAATAAACATTTGCCAGTATTTGATTAAACCTTTTTTTAGCTCCTGACGGGGTGTAACAGTTTTAAAACACAGCGGCCATTGTGAAAGTACTGGCTTTCGCGGGGAAAAATATTCCGACTATTTAGAATTTTGTTTCGCAGCTGCAGTAATGTGCTGTCTTTGAATAGAAGAGACCAAAAAAGCGGTTAGGAGTGAAACTGTTTAGGACCTTTTCAGAAGCTGCATACGTTTTTACATGAATAACCAGAAGTTAATGCAAATATTATCTCCCCCAGTGGTGAATGTATGCGTGAATTCAAACCACCTGCACCCAACTGTATGGTGAATTGTGTGGCCAATGCCTGCATGTGCTTATTGGAGGTAGTTGAATATTCTTTCTTGTCATGACCCCCCCCACCACCCTCACCCCCACTTTAATTTAGTTAGATTGAATTTTCCACCTAGTCTATATACAGTTCCTTAATGACCACCCAAGAGAGACACCGTGGTAACTTACATAGGCGTTAGCCCCATTACTGCTCATCAAATTACACAGCAGCCTGTATGTTGCTCATTTGTCAGCTCGGTCCTGTGCTTGGCTTGGTCTGCTCTCTGTTTTTCAGTTGAACACACACGGAAGTATCACTTTCAACTCGCTTGAATATTCATATTGACACTGCATTTAGCTAAGAACCTAAGTAAACTGCTTCAAATTGAGCGATGATTATGTCGTGTAGTTGACACCACCATGACCATTTAAAAACCCGTCCATGGTGCTACATGTGCCAGAGCGGTCATGGTGTTTTCTATGTTTAACATGAGTATAGGTAGCGGGGCGGAATGAAGATGTGCTAATTAAGTTTGGCCCCGTCTCATGGTGATTTACTCTGCTCGTGTTAACGTCTCGGCAGTATTCAGCCAGCCTCCCCACATTAGTGGCTAATGAGATAGCGGTTTGAAATTCTCTTTGCAGGATATTTGTATAATGCATTGTTCCATGGCGAGGCTTTGCGAACTATTCGACCAAGAAGCCGTTAGTGTTGTGTTTGTGCGATTACTTACGGCCACCTTTGCATTCACTTCTGCTTTGTTTTTGAATTTGGCTGCTTGAGTCTTTACCCCTGGGGCAGACGTCCCTCACATACAGTTGTTCGTTGCTCTTGCTTTTGTGAGAAGTTGACTAAAAGCTGAAGTATAAATGGTAGAAAATGTTTACATTGGTAACGTACAGTTTACGGTTGTCATTTCAAAGCAGTGACATTTTTTTGTAAAAGACTTGTTTACCTGGCTTAGCAAGCACTTAAAATGAAACACCTTTTTTACAGACAAGTTAAAGGCTGATATTGAGTATATTGGGTGAATTAATCAGTCTACACAATGAGAGGGAGGTTATAATAGACAGGTATTCAAATATTTGTCTTCAACCAGTCCAATTAGAATGGGTTAATAGTTTAAATGAATAATTTAATAATGATAATTGGCCCAAGATAAGAAACGATGAAAGAATGTAAAAATAATCATTTATTCCATCGACTCAGTTTTTGATTCTCATCACTTTTTGTGCCGAATATTTAGCAGGTACTAGATTTGATAATTTAATAATCCAATTTAAGCTTTTGGGGATTTCAAAGTTTTGAAAATTGTGTCATAAATGTTCCAGCTGTTGCTTGAATAAGTTTGTAACCTGTCCAAAGGAGGAATAATCCTAGTTATTATCATGCAGCTTTTGTCTTTGTGGGATTTTTTTTGGATACAAGTGTTTGTGCTTGTGTACTAATGCCTTCCTGGCATTGTTTGATTTGGTCAGCTTGTATGTAAATGCCTTTCCTCAGGCAGTGGGATAAGTGCAGAGGTTGATTAGAGCTTTAGCAAGCAGCAGTTGTTGTGGATTTAGTTGGTAAGCCCCTTCCCCAGTAGACCAAAATACAGCCATGCATTCCAGTCCAGTCACTCTGACTTGCTGGACACCTGTGCAGCCTCACAACTGGGCTCTTTCCCTGCAGTATTGGCTCTGTGCGGGCAGAAAATATAATGAAACACTAATGGAATGTAAGGCTAATCTAAATATGTTAATCCCCCCAACACTTCATAAACATAGACAGCCCCGCCACCCACTCTCTGCAGTCATTCGCTGTGGAATGCTTTGGCCACGGGGGGTCTAGCAGTAATGACAGGCTTGTGGTGGATTAATGTGGAGTTATTTATTTCCGATTGAGCGAGCCCCCTCCCACTCAGACCCAGCGCACCCCTCCTCCTTTTATTTGGCACCTTAGCCCGGTCTCCATGACTCTTGGTGATGTTCTGAGCGAGCAGTCACAGCCACTCTATTAATGCAGTCCACCCCGCTAACATGCCTCGACCGCTGTGGACGGACCTCATACTGCATTCTGGGATATCTCCAGCCCTTTACCTGCTCTTAGCTAATTACTTTTTAGTTCTGCACTCGCTCAGTAATTGGTCTTGTGCTGCTGCCTCCCCTCCCTCTGCTGCACCAAGTGCTAGTTTGAGCACTTTTTTCTCCCTCTCCACTCTCTGTCGTCCTTATTCCCCTGTTTTTTTATCGTCCTCCAAAAGCCATCCAATTAATATGCTAATGAGCTGATAAATATTTATAGGGGTTTAAATTATGCAGAAGGCTTTCAGAGCCCGTTGTGAAATGCGTTGCTCGCAGGACTTCAAAGCCTTGCATTGCTAACGAGGCAGAGGCCGATTTGCATACGCCTTTAATCAGCTGAATACTGATTATGCTTCATTATGGAATTGGGGGTAGTGTTGGAGGAGGCCGCCAGCTGCACTTGTCGTTTGTTTCATTCCAGCAAGAGGGGGAGATGGTGAACTTTTTCAGAAGTACAGACGATCTTGGCACACGAGAGGGAGAGGGAGTGCAAAACAGGCACGGCAGACGAGTGAGGGGCAGAGCCACAGGAACAGAAAAGAGGGAGGCAAAGAGAGCTGTTTGCCCAAAACCCTGCTGGCTCTCTCGGTGTGCGTATCCCAGAGTTGCTCAGCAGACCGTGCGGCTGACACTCGGTGTCTGTGTATGCCCGCACTTTTATTGAACTGTGACCAGTGGAGAGTGGAGACAGGAAGGAGTGGGAGAAGGGAGTGGGTTCTGGGACACCCTGTTGGTGGGCCCGGGTGGTTTTACTTGATAGGTTCAGCAACCATGCTGGAAAACACAGGTGGAGCAAGAGCTGGTGAGTTTCTAATGCTTTGATGGAGCTCGCCGGGCTTTTTAGCCGGTCGGAGGCATTGCGCGATGGAGGAAGGGATGTTGTGGCATATGAGCGTTATCATTTTATTAATAGCAGTTTTTTCACATCATTTTGACTCCATGTTATGCTGGCTCATTTGGACTTTATTCCGTGATGAAAATGCTTTTTCAGAGTAGATGTGTCAAAGTGAGAACGCCCCTCAGCTCGCTGACATCGGCTTCAGCAGAAGCACGTTTAAGTGTGTCTCATTATGTCTGTGCTTGGCTCTTTCAGATGCTAAAGTGAATAATCAGTCAGAAACTACTAAATGTGCAATGGAAAGTGGTGACGGGAACACCGGTGAGTGATCTCCATCTCTCATTCAATACGCTAGTTTTTTTTTTTTCTTGGCTCAAATCTGGACATGTTGTGTTCAATTTTCTCATTCAACAGGTTTGAAAAATGACAACAGTTGATTTATTGTTTTCTCAGCCCAATGCCCAAGGCTCTCAGCTGTCAATCTTTGTGGCTCACTAGACAAGACGAGCGTGCTTCCTCTCAGAACAGTTTCCCTCATTTGTATCTGTTGAATATTCTGCTCCTTTGTTGTGTGGCAGCACTTTTCCATTACTCAAATGCAAACTATCAATCTATATGAATGATAAAGATTCACAGCTTGTGGAGATGAGGTTAAAACTGTTAAAGAAACCATATGAATCTACACCTCTAGGCTCAAAATGAGTCGATTTTCTATTAGGCATCCAGTCTTCTGTTCTGGACTTGTTACTATGTCAAGAGTTTTGACTGCATTTTCAGTTAATCCAACCTAAAATGCCACATTTCAGTTATGTTTCTGTTTTTCAGGAATCCAAACCAATGGATTGGACTTTCAAAGGCAGACGGTGCCAACAACAATCTCTAATGCACACGCACAGGCCCTCCTCCAACAGGTACCACATCATCCACACATGCACCACCTGTGGGAACCAAAATGACTTCTGGTTTGACTCTTTTCATTGAATGAACAGATGTCTTAAGTTTGAATCGTTTTTGCATATTTGTACCTTTACATTGAAATAAAGTATGAAGTTTGCAGGGAGCTCCTCTGCACGCAAACATTCGCAAGCAGAGTGGGCTCATTTAAATGAGCCAGGCTCTCACAGTGTCGCCTGGCAACAAGGCAGATTAATCAACCCTGTATGCTAATTAGCTGCTCTCCGGTTGCTGGGAAACAGATGGCCGAGAATATGCAAATCTATGCAGAATTTACATGCACTGCATAACAGTTATTTTAATTAGCATCTCCACTCTCCCCTCCCTCCTCCTCATTTTCCCCTCTCTGAAGGCTGCAGCACATTTTAAACACCCACTTAATCGCTGCCATTTTAATTCAAATTCTTCTCACTGTTTTAAGTCTAAAGACTCATTCTGACAAAGCTGGGCAGGCAGCACAGACATCATCCCTGCTTTTTATGCTTTCTTTTATTTTTCAGGTTACTTTATGTCCTAATTAGACATTAATTAATTACTTTAAAAAAAACGCTAGTGTCTACCATTAACTTTTCACTGCAATGACTGCAACATTAAATCAGGAGGCAGGTTATGCCCCCTGGAAGGTTTTCTCTAAGTTCCCCCTCTCTGCTTCGCCTTCATTAGTCTAAGTCGGAGGACTCGGGTGCTCTTCCGACCTCCGTCCAGCAGAGCGTGTTGCCTCAAACCCAGCTAATGTTGGCCGGGGGACAGATTGCTGGAGTAAGTGGCCTCGTTGCTCTCAGTTAAAACCCCGCCGTTGCCATGCCCTCTGGGATGACGCCATGGTTTGTGCAGCCACGTCTTTTTAAGACGTGGTTGGTGGAATGATGGTTTGCGTTCGAGGATAAAGCCGGTGACTTCCCTGCCTGTTTGCCTGCTCATTCATACAGTTATTAGTCTATGTCCAAGGTCTTCCAAGTGGTGGGATTGATTTGGATATCGTCTCTCTGCCTAAACGTTCATTGTGGAACAGCACGCGCCCATGCCCATGTCTCCTGGAGGCACCTCCTCATTTGAAGAGCGGCTGGCTGAAGTGGCTGTTGCTGTGCTATGTTTACCATGCATGTAGATTTGTGTTTGAACATGACATCAACATGCTCATTTGCACTTGTGCCTGGTACTGCTGCATGAGTCCTCCTGCCATTTACCTGTGACGGCTCAAATTTACGCTAGCCAATGTTTCAATGATACTTCGATACCTTTGTGAAAAGTGAAATGCAGTAGGTTGAAGTAGACTGCAAACAGTGATCCTTAAAGCATTAGAACAATTACAACATCACGATTGCAACATTTTTTGATAGATGTGATGCTTTTCACTGGTATCGAAGCCTAAAATGAAACCCTGTCGCACTTTTGCTTCAGCCTGTGCAGTTTGTATCCTTAATCCCTTCCTTTGTCCCCGCTTCTTGCTCCATTACTATTTGATGCATGCCTTTCTCACCTGCCATGTCTGTGCTGTTGTCCCTTCAGTTGACCCTGACCCCAGCACAGCAGCAGCTGCTGCTCCAGCAGGCCCAGGCTCAGCTCCTGGCTGCAGCCGTGCAGCATTCAGCCAACCAGCAGAACAGCACCACCGGGGCCAACATCTCAGCCTCTGCAGCCACACCGATTACCCAGCTGCCCCTGTCCCAGCCCATCCAGCTCGCCCCTGTAAGTCGCCGTCGTGTCTGCAAACTTGGGGTCCAGCTTTGGGGTTTATAGTACCCTGACTGGCTCTCTTCTTCCTTTTGCAGCTGATACAGCAGCAGAACCAAGGTCTGCATCAGTTTGTGTTGGTTCAGCCTGGCCACCCGATCGCCACGCAGCTGCAGCCCGCTCAGTTCATCATCTCACAGACACCGCAGGCCCAGCAGAGTGAGTAAACTGATGGATTTGCATGCATATTTAAAAGGGAGATATTTCAAGTGGCGGAATTACCATTCTTCTTCTCCTCTTCGTTTTCCAGGCATATTGCAAGCGCAGAGTCTTCTAACTCAACTACCTCAAAGCCAAGCTAACCTCCTGCCGACTCAACCAAGCATCACCCTTGCAACTCAGGTTGGTAATTAATCTGCCACAGGCAGCCAAGGACGTCTGTAGGTCCTCTGCAGATTCTCCTCCACACCTCTGATTCTCAAAGCTCAGGAGACTCTTCTCTTCCTTCAGAAACGTCCACTTCTCTCTTATACATTTGCTCTCTCTAGCCTGCAACTCCTACCCGCACAACAGCAGCCACACCTATCCAGTCCCTGCCCCAGAGTCAGACCCCACCCAAACGGTTGGACACCCCCACTCTGGAGGAGCCCAGTGATCTTGAGGAGCTGGAGCAGTTTGCCAAGACTTTTAAACAGAGGCGAATCAAACTAGGCTTCACGCAGGTGTGTGCAACCCTAAAGATTCCCACAGGTTGAGTCATATTTAGATTTGCAAATGTGTGTTTTCTTTTGATATGGAACGCCCGTGGATGTTTTCATATGCAGATTTAACTCACGGGTCCAACTAATGTTATCAATTTGAATAACGCCCTCCTACAAAATTCAAATGACTTATTTATCCTTTTTCCAGTAATGCTTGTGAGATACGGAAGGCAGCAACACCCATTTCACCTGAGAAGTGTAGTTGGCAAATTATCATAATAAAAAACACACTAGAATAACAAAAGTTTCGATTTAGTTTACTTACCCACAGAAATAAAGAGCTCATCACTTCAGCACAGGGGAGTGATGAAATGTTTTTAGATGTTAAATGTGGTTTAGTCAGACTCTGTTTTTACTGTAGTTTCAGTTTTCTAGCAATTGACTTAACTTGCTTCTCTTGTCTGTCTATAGACAAAAGTGTCTGGCTGAATTGCTCCTTATTACATTTTGTTGGGTGTGCCGGGTAGACTAGTGTGAGCAGAGTTAAATGAAGGCGCAGCAGGAAATCAGTACAAATGGAGTGGAATTCATGGTCACTCATAAAAGAGTAACTTTGCGGTGTTACACCAAGGCCTGAAGCATGTTGATGTTTATTTTAATAAACATCTTTACAGTGTGTTATTTTGATGAATAGAGAATAATTTTTACAGGCATAGTGGCTGCCTTAAGAGAAACCCTAAAAATTAATCCAAATTTTTCCGCCTTTGTTTGTGACCCTCTCCTAGGGGGACGTTGGCCTGGCCATGGGGAAGCTGTACGGAAACGACTTCAGCCAAACTACCATCTCTCGTTTCGAGGCCTTGAATCTGAGCTTTAAGAACATGTGCAAACTCAAACCTTTGCTGGAGAAGTGGCTTAACGACGCAGGTTTGTCCCTGAACCAGCATACATGACGATAATGCTGAAAGCGGGTATACTCTGTGCTCTGCTATTCTAAGGCCAGTGTGGAGAAGAAGCCACTCAAGCCTGTAGATAGAGGTGTTTTGTGTCTTGTCAATGGCCACCTTGTCTTTACCTCCCTTCCCTTCCTTTGCGTCGCTGCTGTTTGTGCAGAGAACCTGACATCTGACCAGTCTATATCCAGCCCCAGCACCCTGGGCTCCCCGGGCATGGGTCTTGACGGCATCAACCGCAGACGGAAGAAAAGGACCAGTATTGAGACCAACATTCGAGTGGCCTTAGAAAAGAGCTTTCTGGAGGTGAGAAACTCCTATTCCTGGCATTACCAATGATGACTGTTCACATCGCACATCTCCAGTCGTGGCGTGGAGCACGCTGTGCCGTGGCGGCCTTAGTGCTGACAGGGTATCCCTGGCTTCTTTGCCCTCTTCAAGCAGAACCAAAAACCTACCTCTGAAGAGATCACCATGATCGCTGACCAGCTCAACATGGAGAAGGAGGTGATTCGGGTCTGGTTCTGCAATCGCCGCCAGAAGGAGAAGAGGATCAACCCCCCGAGCAGTGGCGGCAGCGGAGGAGGCAACAACCCCATCAAAACCATCTTTACTCCCAGCAGCCCATTGGTAACCTTTTGGAACCCCTTCTCGCACTTTCTGACCTTTTTTATCGTTCAAATCCTGCTGTCTTGTGTTTTTTTTTAAATTCTGCAGTCAAGTGATGAGTAAAGACACAAAGTTAATTCAGTCATTTTCTGTTGAACAGGTGGCCAGCACAGCGAGCCTTGTCAATAGTCCAACTATTAACACATCCACCACTCTGACTGTAAACCCAGTGATGCCTCTCACCAGCACCAGCGTCTCCAGTTTGTCTTTCACCGGTGAGTGTGCCCCCTCCCTGTGTTTGCCGTTCCGTTTTGCTGCCCCAAAACTCACCTGTTGATCCTGAGAACACCCCCTCCCCCCTTTTCCCTTAAAAACGGCTTTAATGGTAGCCTACACCTTTGCTACACTGATATATAAATAAGAAAATCGGCCCACCTCTGCCTGCAGCTGGAACACACTGGCATTTAACTGTTTTTAAATCCTTTCCACCACACCCATGAAGGGTTTGAAGGAAGTGTTTCTAAGTCAACGTCGGCTGTTCAAATGTGATGTCTGTCAGAGGACAACAGAGCAAAACATGATGGTTCTTTTAAAGATATTTACAATTTGCTCCTCATAGTGACTGATTTGTAATAGTAGCGCATGTGGGTGAACATCCTCACAATGACAGTGTGCTGCTATGCAGAATAGAGGGCTTAAACATCGCCTGATCAGAGAGGAGGGTCTTGCGGCATAATTTTTAAGGAGAGAAATTCGATTTCTCCTGTATTGTCTGTAAAAGGCACGACAGTTGGAGCCACAAACACTGCATCCGTCATCTCCACCGCACCTATGGTGACCACGTCAAGCAGTTCTCCCTCTTTAAGCCCGTCTTCGATGACCACATCCACAGACAGCAAGGCTGGTGCACAGGCGCAGATGGTTTTCACCCAGGCGCCAACTTCGGCAGCCACAAGCTTGGGAACGGGTCAGGTGATGGTGTCAGCATCGGGGCTGTCGGCGGCGCTGCAGAGCGCAGCTCAGCTGCCCACCAGCGCCAGCTTTGCAGCCATGGCTGCTGCTGCGGGGCTGAACCCCGGGCTGATGACTTCGTCTTCGTTCGCGCCAGGGTCAGTACACGCCACCTTCAACCAGACCTCTCGTTTTGACCTCTGTGCCGTGTTCTTTCAGATGTTCTCTCCGTATTTGTGGTAATAAGCTTGTCTTTGTGTCCAGGGGCGCCCTCCTCAGTCTGACTCCAGGGGGTCTTGGCAGTGCCCTAAGTCCTGCTCTCATGAGCAACAGCACCCTGGCTACCATTCAAGGTATGCATCAGTTCAAATACAGAGATGCCTTTTTGTTTGGAGCTTTATTTGGCAACACTTTCTTAGAAAACTCAGTCTTCCAATGTTTTAACACTTTTAGTAAATGCTGAAAAATATTCAGGTTCAAAGCATAGAGAAATCTTGGATTGCTCAATTTGTGGCAGGAAAAGAAGTGGAACATTTCCAGCAATCAATCTATAACGGGCATAACAGTTTGTTTATGATAAAACGTGATCATACTGTCGAATGTCAGGCTGTGGATTAAGTATGCTCATGACTAATGCAAAATGTTTCAATTAACTCTTGGATTGTCTTTAGCCAGTTGTGGAAATAAATGCAGGAGCCAATAAACAGATGCAAAAGGTACTGAGCCTGAGGCAAGATGGCACTGTAAATACTCACGATAAATTTCACAATATTCTGTAGAAATCCCTCATTTCGAAACCTGGAACAGTGCAGAAACACTTTAAAACCCTTTTTTTTGTACTTGAGATGTACAACTCCACCATCTGCTTGTTTTTTAAAAGTTTTTTTTAAACATTGCTTTCACACCAGATTTGGCCACATGTGTCGTTGAAGTTCTAACTTCTGAAGTGGATTGTTGAGAAGAAGGTTGACCAGATTAGAAATCAGATGTTCTGTCATCCTCATTTGTGTCGAAACGACTTCAGCATCTTTAGTTTCTGTGGTAGCTTAGTGGACCAATGCATCAGCATCTGATATATTCTTATTTTTAGAAAAAGTCAGTGATTAACGGCCAGGTGATTTGATTTGCAAATCAAAAACAATGGAGCATTGTCATCCAGGTAACCAAATAGTGTTATTTATGAGACCACATTCGCATATGGGTAAAGTATTCAAAGAAACCCCCTCTGGGTATGTTCTTTGGGAGTTGAGGATACATCAGAAGAGAGGAACAGGTTCAGTGACAACGTTTTTAACGATATTGGATGTACCTCTTGTGTCCCGTCTTCCGCCCCGGCCCCTCTGCAGCACTGGCATCCGGCGGCACGATCCCCATCACCTCCCTGGAAGGCGGCAACCTGCTGTTCGCCAACACCTCGGCTGCTAACACGCCCAACCTGGTGACCACGCCGCTCTTCCTGAACCCCCAGAACCTGTCGCTGCTCACCAGCAACCCCGTCAGCCTCGTGTCGGCCGGGACGGGGGGGCTCCAGGTCTCCGCTGACGCCCATCATCAAGCCACCACAGCGGCTGTGCCTGTGCAAGCTTCGACCATTACCACTGCCTCCAAGGCCCAGTGAAGCCGGTCGGGCTGCATACCCAAACGTTTGCCCCATGTCCTACTTTGAGCACTACTCCCATCACACCACACGAGGAACAAGGTGTTTGGTTGCTCTGTGCTTCACCAACAACCCCTCATTCGTTCCATTGTATCTAACATTATTTAATCCTTTTTGCTGCCACCAAAAAGAAAATGACCTCCAATAAGATTGGGCTTAATTTTTTGTTTTGTTTTTCACCCACCCCACCCTTTTGTCATCCCTGACAATTTTTCCCCCACAAACGGAAGCCAGATGAACACCTGCCACTTGTCACGAACAAGTTTCCAGGGAGAAAACATCTTCGGCTCCATCAAGCTGTTCATATTTTTGTACATATATCCTCCTCTTTCTAGCTCAGACTCTCCTCTGAAACACTTCTAACCAAAAAAAAACAAAAACTCTTTTAACATTCAAACTCAACTGATTTTATGACTTTCACCAGATTCATCACTAACAGGGGGTTTGTGTGTTGCCCTGTCTTTAATTAACCTTTTCCTCTTTTGATTTTTTTCGACAGGCCTTGACTAATATCATATCAAAGTTATATTTTAGAAACTTTTTTCTCTATCTTTGCTGTCTGTATTATTTGTTTTTGGGACATTTTCAGAACTTTGTAAGTCTAATATTAAGTTAAGGTTTAACTATCACTTTTTAATCGTGGTTATAAGGCTTTAAAAACAAGTAATAAGTGGCCGATTATAAAGGTTATCATTGCTTTAAGGGTCGGAGGGCGCGTCCCTCCGAGTCTCTCTCTTCTGGAAACACTGAGTTTTGCAGTCTGCTGCGGCGGCTGTGAAATCACGGTCTGAACGAGGATTATTCACTGACAGGAAATGGTCGCAGACATTAGAAGGTGGCGCTTTAAGGCGAGCTGCCCCAATAGGAGCGCCGTGACATTGGTCGGAAAACTGTACAAGGCGTTTGCGTTCAGGGGGCAGGAAGTGGATGCGCGGCGGGTTGTCGGTGGCGGAACGCCTCGTCACGCCGGCCGTTTGGCCAGCGGCGTTGGCCTAACGGGGTTTATTTGTATTGTGGTTTTATGTTTTTTTTTTTTTTATAGTAGTACTGTCGTATCTACTTGTGCACAGTATCTGTACCAAAAAAGAAAAAAAAAACTGGACTGGTGAGCTGCGGTCTGCCTGTTTTGGGAGGAATGAAATTCTTTTTATTCTGTCTGCAGTCGTTTGACTGACCTGCGTACTTTACGATATACCAAAAAGATTTCTTAAGATAATTGCTGTGTAGTCACTGTAGCTTAGTCTAGCCGATATATTTATGAGTACAGAATCTCTTCATTGTCGACAGAATATAGAAATGCAATATTTTGATGATCACTTCCAAAGATTACATTTGTTTGATTTGACAAAAGCGTCTCTCATAGCTCGATCTTTAATTGGCAGCACAACTTACCAAAAAAGTAGAGGGATTGGTGGGTTGTTTCTTCTCACGCTCTGATTCTTTTTCTTTTTTTTCTTTTTTTGTGTCCACTCGAGCTTCGGCCTGAATGCCTCATCTGGTTTTCCGTGAGCCGTTCGATAGCTCCTGATGGCTCCTTTTCCTTACCGATCTGTTGCTGTAGCAGCTTTGGATTTTTCTGGACCATAGCGGAGAAAGGTCTTGTTTTTGTTTGTTTTATTCTTTTTGGGTGTCGTGCTAAGATTCAGCCATAAAAACAACAGCTCTAACCAAAGTGGTTTTCCTCAGTCGTCGCTCTGCCTGTCCGAACACATGTAGACGACCCCCCCCCCCCCCAGTGATTTTCTTTTGTTTCTTTATTCTCTTCTCCCGCTTCAGTCATTGCCAGATTTCTCCCTGATTTGGTGCTGCTGGACACAGATCACAGAAACTTAGCTTTACCAACTTGCTGCTGAGGCTCCCGATGGAGCCGAGCTGTTTAGAAGGCCTGCATGCTTCCTTATAGCTTTATGAATACATCCTGTGAGAATCCGGGCTTTTTGTAGTTCGGACCCTCCCTGCCGGAGGGCTCATTTGTGTAAATGCATCGATCCCATCACCACGGAACATTCTCCGCCTCCTCTCAGCGACACCACTCAACGAATTGAATGCTACCCCCCCCCCCAAAAAAAACGACAAATCTGTGGACTAGTTTAAAAACCTGCCAAACTTACCCGAACTGGAAACGCAGCGGCGGGAGAAGCGCCATTCTGAGCTGAGCTTCACAGAAAAAGTAGCATCTTTCCGCATCGAAACGAATTAGTGCAGTGATCACCGAGTGGCCGCGTGTCCACCTCATCCTTTGTGCTTCTTTTCTCTTGAGTTATTTGACTGAATATACCTCAGCAGCACTTCAACGTAAGGTTCACCTTTAGACAATTCTGTGTACAGAACATTGTAGAATGTATGAGGACTGTCTGGCTCTCCATTCAGAGTTTATACTATTGAATCACACATAGGAACCGAAGATAAAAGGACAACCTACTACTGCTATTTTCTAGAACTACTATTTATGGGGTATTTCCAGGTTTGAATATGATTTTGAGATCCTTCTTGCCAAAGCAAAGGCCTTTCTCTTGGCAGCCAGGTGGAGGCCTGGCTGCCGGTGTTGCTGGTTCCCCCCCCCCCCGTCCTCTGGAGGGCGGCCCCCCCCCCGGGGGCCCCCCGGACAACACAGACCTGTTTCGGTGCTGTTTGTGGTTGCGCTTGCGAGCATGACAAGCCAGTCAACACCATAGGATGTTACTGAGATATTTATCTGAGGAAAGACTTAAGAATTAGAGAAACAATCTTTTCTTAATTCTATACATATAAATATATATATAACACTTGTAAGATATTCATATTTTATATTTGAACTAGTACGTTATCGAGACTGAATGTAGTGTTTTATCATGATTTAGAGAGGAAAAAAAAATCGCCCAGCATCTTTTGTCACTTTTTTTTTTTTTTTTAAACTGACAATACCAAAAAAAATGGGAAAAAATAGAATAAGAAAACTGAGGAAACGTGAGCGCGCCCCGGCAGAGCGCGAGCCGGCTGGCGTTTTTTCTCCTGGAAGACAGGTCCTGTGGCTGGTAGGGGACCGGAACATCCCACCTTAAGCTTTTCCCCTTCGTTTTTTAACGTTTTTTTTTCAAAGACTCTTGTGGGCTTTTGGATTTGCTGTGCTGTCTTTAACAATCATTTGTTTTTTTTATAACTATTACTTTATGCCTTTGCCTTTTTTTCGTTTTTTTTATAGTGTGAGAGGGCATGATCACTGGCTTTCTTAGTTTGACAGACGATTAACATTATCATTTATGCCTTATTGTTACGTAGAAGACATGAGCATTGTAGCATTGTTCTGTGTGGATGTGTGTGTGTGTGTGAGAAAGAGAGCTTGATCGTGGAGCTCACCCAGTGCATTGTTTTCACTGAAATAACACAGTGTGCTTTGGGCATTTTAGAGCAGTAGGTGATTATGTTGCTGCCTGTGTGTTTTAGGTATGACTCAAACAGGTTGGGGATACCTGTGAGAAAAGCTTTACTAATAATTCCAGCAGTTGGGTGTGTTCGTGTGTGTTTGTGTGCGTGTCTTGAGGAGAGTAGTGAGGGCAGTCTGCAAACCATTGTGATGCATTTTTCTCCATCTTCCAGCGTGCTTGAAGAGTTTTCTTTCTTCTTTTTAAAGCAACAAGAGGCTTATTTTTGTTGCCGTTTGGTTTGAGGTCCTCTACTGATCAAATATAGGCTTTCAGCGAGTCACGGCCGAGCCAGCTTCGATTATTTGGCTTGTTTTTTAAGTAAATCTGCAGTTTTTTTTTCTCTTTTCGTGGCGCTGACTTGGCTCTCAGCGCTCCGCTCCCAGTCGGCGGCGATGAGATTTGGAGATGCTCTCTGGCATCAACCTGGCGTGGAGTGTGTGTGTGTCCACCACGCCGGTTCTGCTGGTCCTTAACGTTGTATAGCTGAGGTGTGGAGCACCGGTGAGGCAAAAGACGCTGTCGTATACCTCATTTCTAACTCAAGTCTGAGTGAAACCTGCTTTAATCTACTTAAGAAATAAGGAAAATGTTCTTAAAAATCTTAGAAAATGTTAGATAAAAAAAAGACAAAAAAGAAACCAAACACAAATACTCAAACTTGTGTCGGTGGAGAAGCCTGCTCATACCTGTACTTTTAGATGGGTGTGTGTGTGTGTGCGTGTGTGTTTGAGGGGGGGGGGGGGGGGGGGGTGTGCCACGAGGGGGCGATAGATTCCACACCAGTGCTCATGAATGTCTGCTGTCTTTTACACTTTCTGTGGACTTCTGCTGCACACTGATGTCTTTCAGCATTAAACACAAGAGTTATTCGTTGTGACTTGAGATAAAAGTTCCTTTTAAAGAATTGTATTTGTACGCTGCCACTTAAGTTATTTTCTGTTGTACTAACAGATATCCCCTTTTTATGTCGGAACACTTTTTATTAATATTATTATTGTTATTGTTGTTGTTGTTTTGTTTTTTTTAAGTTTGACAATCCTGTTTTGTTTTCGGTTCTCACTCTGACCAGGTGCAGGTGTGTGTGTGTGTGTGTGTGTGTGTGTGTCTTCCCACGCGGCTGTGCGCCGTGGCGGCCCGCTCGGGCCTCCCTGCGGTACCAACGCTAACCAAAGACTTCTGACCTGATTGTATGCCGAGCATCGCCGGTGCCCCGCCCCTCTGCCCCGCCCCCGGAGGCCACGCCCCCGGAGGCCCCGCCCCGACGGCGCGGCCGTTTCAGTGCCTGGGGGCGGGGATCGGAGGGGGCCGGGCAGGGACCGAGCGGGCCCCCCCACCCCATGCCCCTCCACCACGGGCACAGTCCGGCGTGGTCGTAGCTGGGTGGTGTTTGTTAATACACACGGGGGGGGGGGGAGTGGATCCTGGGCACGCTGTACCTGCTCAGGATGTTGTTTGTGTTTGTCGATTTTGAGCACTGTTGCTAGGACGACCCCCTCCTATTTCCCTCCCTCCCTCCATCCCCCCCCCCCTTCTCTCCACCTTCCCCTCTCTGGAGGAATGTGATGGAAAATGCCGTTCCTGCGTCTCAAAGTGCGTCTCCTGTCTCCTCTTCATCGTCTGCACACTGTAGTCCCAGGACATACACCAGGAATACACACCAGGTGGTCTCTAACCCCCCCCCCCTACCTCCCTCCCTCCCTCCCTCCCTCCCACCATGGCGTCTCCTCCTCACTACAGACTCTGATCAGCTGTGACACTATGCATCATGGTCCTTCTCTCTGCATGGACTGTGTCCCCTCCGGCTCAGAGACCCTGAGCGACGGGCCTCAGTGACACTTTGTTTAAGGCTTTACTCCGAGCGGGGCTGTAGGACCTCGCCAGCGCTATCCCAAAGCAAAAATCCAAATATTTAACTTTTGACAAGTGCAGATACCAAAGATATCTCTCTGTCCTGTGTGTGTGTCTTCGTCCGTTCGGTCCCGCTCCCCGTACGCCCTGCAGCATGTGTATTAAGAGACAAACCCAGCACTGGCTTTAGTCCTCTCCTCAGTAATTCCAAAGCTTAGATGTATATTTTCATATATTTCTGAGAAAAACGCGTCTGTTTCTGGTCCGTTTGTTGTAACGTTTTTTTTATTTTTTATTTTTTTCCCCTGTCACAGCATGGAACTAATTGCAGAACTGTCTTACTCTTGCTAGGTGAAAAATATAGTATTTTTGTATGTTTTTTGGGTGTGTCATGTGTGCGATTATCAGTTCACGGCCCAAGTGACCACAGCTTTAAAAGAGAAAAACATGTGGAAAAAAAAAAAAAAAAAAGGAAGAAAAAATGATCGCCAACCATGTACATATTATGTCTGTGTATCTCAAGAAACGCTTTCTGTCAAACATTTCACTATGGAAGCTTGGGCTCATCTAAAGGAATGTGTTCCCGATTGATTTCCCCCCCCGTGTTATTTTTCTTCTTTTTTTCTTTCTTACTCTGCAGTCTGATAAGAATTGACTTTCCAGGACTCGAATGTAAAGAGTTTTGGCTTCAACCACGGAATACAACACTGAGAGGAGCTCTGCTCTGCTCTGATTACAATAAAACAAAAACAACAAAAAAATTAAAAGTAAAAAAGTGAAAAAAAAAAAAAAAAAGCTGGCCTCCAGTCATGGCGGCGTAGAACTGAAAGATTGTGTAGGAGTTTTAAGTATGTGAATCAGGATACATAGTAGATTATGATGCGTTTGTCTGCTGTATTTTTTTTGTTTGTTCTGTTTTTATACACATACAAAGATAAACTTTACTGTAAATGTACAGTTCTCTTTTGTTGTAAACGTCATTAAACCATTTTCCAAGTGTTTTGACATGTGCTTTGTCTTTTGTTCAGGATCAGTTGGACTCTGGCATATGTGATGTGGAGCCAGGTGGTTTTATGTGCATAGGACATCTAATTCTCACCAGCTTTTAGCAGTTGTAGATTTTAATGGGAAATGTACATAGATACCTCTATACATGAGTATTTTGAGTCGGTGGTGTGTAAGATGGACACAATTCTCAACACAATACGATTTGTTTTAATCGATTAATTGAAAAACAAGAAGCGGGCTTTTCTGTTTAAAATATGAAACCAGAAAAAAATCTGATTAGCAAAAAAATTATTTGCATCACACCATTGGCCTCATCAGCCGGTCCTCTGGCCCAGATTCAGCAAAGATCCCCGGAAATAGGGAAACCTCAGCGGGGAGGCCGAGGAGCTGGAGTGGCTCTGGGGCTCAAAGATTCATAGGGGTCCTGCTCCTCCTGCTGGGCTCGATTCTGCTGAAGAGAGGGAATACATTACTCCCCACATCGGCAGAATCTGCCGAGCAGAGGAATATGCACGGCTAAGATCACACTCAGCTAAAGAGAGTCCCCTTAAAAGGAAAGCCGCATTTAATCACAAAGTAAGCCGCAGAAGTTTAAAGATCAAGCTAAAGTTCCAAACTCTGCCTTAAGTGCAAACCTTAAAATCCTCTTTAAGTATGCAGAATATCTGTTAAAAAGGACTTTGTGCAGGGCTTATGAGCCTGTTCTGCTCTTTAGCAGTAGAGAAAATACTATTACACCGCTTTAAAAAGCTTATTCATTTCAGCCGGAGATGTTAGTTTTTTTTTACCACTGATTTGCTTCTGAAGCTGGGATTAAATACTTTGCATTAAGTATGCAGCTGAATTTCGAGTAGAGGAGTTCACAGGTACATCTTTTTTACTATGAAGACTGACCCAATAAAAAACGGATTATAAACCTATTTAGTCTTTGAAAAAAATGGAGAAAAAAAGAAATAACCATCACGGAAAATATTGGAATCAAAATCAATTAATTAAAATGCAAAAAAAGGAAATATGCTAAATTCCAGGGTTTTTAAAAAAAATCTGGATTATTGCCCGCCGTCACCTGACCGAAACGTGTTTGTTTGTGATGTTGCTGAATTGAATGATTTTGAGATTACGTGTAAAAAAAGATAAAGGTTGCCTTACCGGAGATTTTTTTTTCCTTCCGCCTTTCTTCTAGAAACACAAAGCGACATGAGTGCAGTTCAAGATGTGAAACGGGTGAAAGCGCGACCATAGAATGAGTCTGATAACTAGAACTGTGACCCACCCTTCCTTTGGGCGGCTGGAGCACCTGGTAAGGACTGGGGTCTGCTGGCCTCTCAAGTTCCTGCAACATGATAACATCGTCAATATCTGCTCCCCAACAGAGAGGCGGACTGACGAGGTCAGGAGGCCCGGCCGTAGGTCCTCACCTGGTAAACGCCGCCATCGTCCTCCTCCTTATCGCACACAGGGAAGGGGGGATGCACACATGCTCTCACAAACACAGATTTACCAGTGAACGTTACACACTAAGACACTGAGGACTAGATTTAAAGTTTCCACACTTACCAAGTCCTCAACAGGCGGGATTTTAGAGAACTGGACCGCAATGAAAAGAACAAAAACAGACAAAGATTTTGTGGATTTGCTGCTTTTACAACTATGAAAGTTTGTATAATTGTAAAATGAACAATTCTTGTGATTTCCTTATTCTGTGTTTACATCATTCATCATCAGTTGGCAGATAAAACGATTACTCAATTGATTTACAGTCCTAATTTCATCATAGTCCAACATATCATAAAAAAGCTGAACACATTTGATTGACAGAAAGAAGAAAATATCAGGCTTCTTTTAACCTTTTGAATAACCTGCTTTCCATCATATCATCAGGTACCTTTGCAAACGGTGAGTGAATAACTCTGTCCCTCAATACAAAACCTGTGCCCGTAACAGAAAACCTCTCTGGTCTACTTCTGCTGCAACTCACCTTTTCTCTGAAGAACAGTGCGGTGGCGGCGATGCAGTAAACCATCAGAAACGCATCCAGGAAGTAGCAGATGACCGGATCGGTGAAGAAGACGTCTTTCCGTGCCGAGCGGAGAGAAGAGAGAGTCAGGGGCATCGACATTTTTGCGTCACAGTCGATTTATAACCTCGCTGAATGCTTTTACCTGTCGAGCGCAGGTTTCAGAATCAAGATTTATCTCTGAACGGCTGAGAATGTTTTTATGTTTGTTATCTATTGAAATGCAGCCGGGACCACAAAAAGAGAAAACCGTTTAGAAGTGAATTCCACGCTGAGTAAACCTACAGATAAAGACTCAGAGTGAGTGCAGGGGCATTATGATGCCTGGCTGATGGTGGGGCGGGATAACAATACGCCTGCAGGAGACTGCTGAACACTGACCCAGCATCCTGTTGAAATCATCTGTGCAGGAGCTTTGGGGATGAGCTCCTATTGCTTAAAGTGTGACGTCCTAACTCCCCCCGTTGGGCGCCCTTTCTGATTCAGCTCATAGCTTCAGTTCAACTCTGTTTCCTGTAGAACAAAATGTCTGTCAACGGGCCTTTTTCTGCAGAAACACGCAAACATTAGCCTCTGCAAATGCCCAAATGGAACTATTCCATCCACTCATCCATTATCATAACCACTTATTCCCTAATGGGGTCGTGGGAGGACTGGAGCCTAACCCAGTGGTCAGTGGGCGAGAGGCGGGGTAAAACCTGGACAGTCCGCCAGTCCATTGCAGGGCCACACGGAGACAAACAACCACACACACTCCCACTCACTCCTAAGGGCAATTTGGAATGTCCAATCAACCTAATATGCAGGTTTTTGGATGGTGGGAGGAAGCCGGAGAACCCACACAGACACAGAAAGGTCCTGGTTCCCCCGGGGACTCCAACCAGGAACCATCTTGCTGTGAAGAGGCCAGATGGAGCGAACCACCACACCACCCCGCCGCCCCAAATGGAACCATTGCTGTGGCAGAATAAAACAACTCTTGGCCTCTCGCCCGAGGGCAATGGCCGTGGCTCCAAAACTGTAAGAAAGTTGGTTTGTAGTTTGACTAAAACTAACGCGCTCAGTGATGCCGAAGAGGCCTAAAGACGACACGCTGCGGACATTCAAAAGATCAGGTTCAGAAGACATGGGGAGGACCTTCATAAGGGTCATGTTTGCGTGTCGAATTGAGTGGAAAAAGAACACTGCGGTGAGACCCCCCCCCCAACACCACCACCTTCAAACAGGAAGTAAGAAACTACATATCTGCAGCTGCCTTCCTGTCAGCTCGATGGGCTGCTGTGGGGCTTTGCTGGGGCTCGTGTGTCTCTGCGTGCGGTCGGAACAGAAGCCGTGCTTCAGCAGTGGTGATCCACTTCCACTTCGACGTCCGCGTCGCATCGAGATCATCTGAGGCAGATTTTGGATGGAGCGGCCCCCTTTGCTGCTAGATTATTTTTATACATCTAAAGGGGGAAAATTGCGCAACTGCCAGTTGCAGACTGCAGTCAGAAAAACAAGCCAGATGCAATTCTGAAGCCCGGTGTTGTAGAGAAAAATGTCTTATCAAAGACACAACCCCAGCCTGACATGGTGGAAAATAAGCGTATACTGTACGCTATGAGACTGGGAATTGAATAAGAGGCCTGGGTTTACCACAGAGGGTTTATGGCCCCAGTATTCGTGAGTGGTTTCTGAAAGTTTGTTTGGCTGTCTACATCTGCTCACCACGCTCAAACTTTAACTTAGGGACCACTTTTGGTTTTGAATTGTTTGAATGGCTTGTACAACGTCTGAAACCAAACAGCCTCACTGTTCAAACGAGGGAGGACTAATTTTAAGATACCAAAGCAAAATCAAGATTTTCCCCCGGAAAGATATATCTACACAGGAAAAAATATTTTGTTGACTCACTATCTTCACGGAAAGTTCAATGAATGAGAATTTCCTGTTTTAAAAAGGGTGGCAGTTTTTAGATACAGAAGTTAGAGACAGACATTTAAAGAAAAAAGAAAAACAACTTTTCGTAGGCATCAGGACCAAATATTCTTAGAAAATAATCAGCTCTGATGCAAAAGCTGAAAACATCTCCTGTTACATCCCGTTTTACCTGGCCGGAGAGGTTCGTTAAATCCTTCGGGGTCGAACGGCCGCTCTGTGAGTTTGACTAAAGCGTCTCAAAGTAAAAACAAGCATAAGGCCCTGCTGTTAACTGGTATCATAACTAAGGAAGGGTGGTGAATACCAATAACAAATCCTTCTTCAGTTTATGAAAATAGTAAAACCTCCCTGAATATGGTTGTCAAAATGTTTCTTAAGCTTTTCAAATAAATCTTGACCTTTTGGTTCACTCTCTCCTGTTTCTTCCTGTGCAGGGTGCCCAGGGGCTTTGAGCTTAACCTGGCTGCCTCTGAGTGATGCTTTTTGTGTTATTTAGATTGTCAAAAACCTATTGTTAACTCTCTCGAAAACTTGGTCCGCTTTTCTGTCTGGTGATTAATTGAATCCCCTTTTGTATCACAAGCTTGTATATTTCCTCCTAAAGTCTCCTAAAGCGATATAACAATGACAAGTTCGTCCGTGGTTTGATAGCTTGTTCCGTATTTTCTGTTTTATTTCAGATCCACTTTACACTCTTAATGTGACACAATGTTAAAATTGGACACACAGAATGAATCCTGATATGTGTGATGTAATCGGAAAGATTAAGAACACCAAAAGTATGAAAACCATATTTCTTCTTATTTTTTTCCTTTACGTTTGACAGCAAATCCTGCATAGAAAATGGGATTTTTGCAGCTCATTGTGTAATTGAACAGATTCGGACATATTCGAGCAAGACGTTGGGATGGGAAATCTAAATTACACAAATGGATTGATAGGCATACCTGTAATAAAAATAAAAAATAAAATTTAAACTACAAATTAAAATGGAAAAAATGGAATGATAGATAATTCAGGAGTTTAATTGTGACAAGGAAATTATTTTAGAGACAAAACTCCATATTGGCGGGTTATTTTGTTGAAGTGTTAGCAGATATCTTTACACTTTTTTAAAAATATCAATATCTCAGAAATAGTTGTGGGCTCAACTGGTGGAATGTTGTAAATATATGAAAGAAGCCAAAGAACTTTAATGTTTCCCATGGTGCTGAAATAAGACTGCGTTTTCATGCTGTAGAAGTTTTGCAAAATAGGCCTAAAAAATTTCACCTTTCATGTTTCCACTCGCAGGAACATGTCTGGAGGCGAATCATTTATTCATGTAGGCTTTTCTCATCTACTTCATCATTATGAATCTGACCGAAACTCATGAGAAGAGTTGAAAGAATTAAAAAAAAAAAGCCTTTTCACTCCTTGTTATTTAGGAAGTCTGGATCAAGATCAAATTAAACAGGGTAAAAAGGTTATTTTTGTGTTTTAAGTCAAATCTTTTTGAAGATTTTCCACAGAGGTCAAAAGTTACAAAAACTAAATGTAAAAAACAACTGCCCATTTCATCCCCAGTTCAAAAACAGAGTACCAGGGTTAAATTCATTATTATATTTTCAGAGGACATTGTCTTTTTGTGTCTTGGATTTAAAGAAAATACAACAGGCTGGAGGAGACTAAAAGGACATTTTCTCATGTGAAAGCAAAAGCTCACTCTTTCCATGCACGGTGATGCGCTGCATGAGAAATTGCTCTAATTACCCAAGCGACTCTCACACAGACATCAGAGAGGTGGTGACACATCAACCGACTCGTACATAAATATTTCAAAAGCAGAAGCCAAAGATTTTGTGCTCATGGCAAAGCAGATTTCCATGAGATTTGAACACAGGGGTTAAAGCTTCTAAAGCCTTACCGTGCGTTGACAGACTTAATGATCGCTCTGCAATAAAGTTACTGGAAAGCTTTAAACTAGAAATTGTTCTTTCGTTCGAAAAGCGTTTGGGAGATGTGTTAATTTAATTTATCTTTAGCTTCCTCTGTTAATTCAGCAGAAGTGCCTGGATGTGACACCTTTCTCACGGAAACTAAAACACCTTGATCTCCTCAGGCTGGTGCATTAAAGGAGTGCCGCCTCCCACCCCCATAGCTCTGTAAAAACACTTACCTGCACAGGACGCGGGCACCAGAAGCCCACACAGCAGAAACACACCTGTCCGCAGTGTGTCCATGGCTCTCCGCCAGCAAAAAACACTCTTTTCTTTCCTTCCTGGCTGCTTGTAGTCAGCTCACACTCAGATTTTCCCCCTCACTTTGATCAGAGGAAGAGGCTGAACCAGCGTCCTGCCGGACTGAGATGAGCTGGTGTTCAGTTCAAAAGCCGCGTTTAACCATTTAACCGTCGCTGCTGGCTCTGTTTTTTTCAAATGTTGTCCACAAAAGCACCTCTTTAGGGCTTATTTCGACATCCCCTCTGACACTCCCCCACTCACAACCGGCCTGCACTGCAGCACGGTGTTGAAATAACAGCAGTCTGCACTTTTAGTGCTGCCTTATAGGACTTTGCAAGTAGTTTTAGATAAAATGTGTGTATACATAAAACCTTTTTGCTGTGTTCTTTTCTGTATTCAGATATTTGCAACAATTCAACAATTTACCAAACCAAGCATCTTTACATCATTTGAAATAAATATTGGACCCCAAATGAGGGCATTCCCCAACCCCCCTTAATTCTACCTCCTTTCAAAGGGGAAATGTCTATGTTTTATACTTATTAGGGAGCTATCACCCCAGAAAAATTCAAAGTGATCTGAAGATGACAACTCACTCTTTTTTTTTTGGTTTCATATCATCTGATGATATCTACTTTCATAATTTCCACTTTTTAATTGGACTTTTTTTGGTGTGTCTCTCCCTTATGTTCTAATGTGGATCAGATATATTAGCAGCACCGCTGCTCAGTGTCCGTGAACAAGACATCTTGACATGACACATTTTCTCTGACGTGTTTGAGTATGTAACGGCAGACATTCTGGAAGGTAAATACTCAAAAGGGTTCTTTAAAGTTATTTTAGCTTGAGACAGTAGTTTTGTTTGCCTCATTATTCTAAAATGAAGAACGTCCGTGTTGTTCTGGGTCATTATATGCAACCTGCTGCCGGTCAGACGAGCCCATCTGGAGAGGTTTCAGAATAGCTCTATTTATCTTCTATCCGCAACTACATTTGCAAAAATAAAAAAGGCTAAAATGTGTACGTCTCCAGGTTTTTCAATCATTTTCACTGTCTTGTACTGTTCTCTCCCCTTAGATTTAAAATGCTCATAATTTTCCATAGGTTGCTGGATTATCCACAGGAATATTTTAGAGAAAATAACCCAAATATCTCAGATTATAAAAGCAAAACGCCCCAGCGCTGCCTATCGTTAGAGGCACATAACATGAACAGGGTTTGCTTTATGAATGCAATTTTCTTTTGTTTTGTTTTTACCAAAAGAGAGAATAGGGGCTATGAAGTACAAACGGTGTGGAACAGAGCTGTGTAAAGTCCGTAGCAGGTTACGTACTGCTGCTGATAAATGCCGTATGAGCTCAGGAGATGCGCTGCCTGTGTTCAGTCTTAGCGTGTCTGTGTGAAGGAAGGGGCAACGCATACGAGGCCTCTGCAACCCCACAGCCTCATGTCTGTTTCAAGACGCATAATGACACTAATCTGTGAAACCTGAGGAAACTAATGTATGAGCAGGAGAAGAGAAACCATCCTAGACTACACCTGTGTGTAAAATGTTCAGGGACTTCTAAATGAGACTAAACCCCGTAACCCTTTAAACCTAAAACTGGATTTGTTCAGTTTAATTTAAACATCTGTGTTTGGTTCATTAACTTTCAACGTTATTGTTATTTTGTATTTGTACCGAACGCCAGAAAGGATCACTGACATCATCAAATTCAGTAAGTTTTAAATCAACATTTGAATAAAATGTTTTTATTTTGGAAAGGAAAAAGAATTAAAAAGCAAGCTCGATATTTAGATAGGAGTGCCAAAGTTAACCCAGCTCCAGCATATGCCTTATTGAAGTTAGTTTTTTAAACACATTAGATTAGACAATCAATTTTGCATGTGACTTTTCTCAGATGGAGGACTTTTCCCACTGTCTCACATCCTCTAGTCACCAAGAAGTGAAATTAGAAGTGAGTTATCCTGGTAGAATTAGTTTCAAGCTGTGAAATTGTTTAGTATTGTGTATATATGTGTGTGTGGGAGTGTAACGTTTTGCTTGATATGATAATAACTGTACCTTTACCCCGGTTAAGCCATTCCTACGCCACTGAGAAAATATTCGCCTTTTGTTCGCACACAAAACGCGATACAGCTGTTTGTGTGAAACCACGTGACTTTCTCGGTGTTTCTTAACCGAGCGTCACATGACTCTGATGTCAGTGTTTGCAGTGGTGGCGGCGATAAGTGTCAAAGGCAAGTTACACTTACCTAACGGCGTGCTTACACAAACTTGTCCACAAAGTGTGGACTTGGTCCGAGAAGCATTGGTGGACTCCGTTATAAATAACAACGCCTTTTCGTCGTTAATTTTTTTTTGGTTCCTTATTTAAGTGCTGTTGTTGTATTGCTAACGTTAGCCTAGCTAGCGACGCTCTTGCTAACTGCTAAGTATCTGCGTCCAGACTTCTGCTGCTGCTGAGATTTGGTCCGGTCAACAACACGATGCAGACCACGGGTGTCCACTCTTGGTGTGTTGGCTTAACATTACCTCTCATTTTAGGTGAGTATGTGGTCGCTACGTTTACAAAAAACAACGTTACCAGCTCCGAAGGTCGCTGACAATCAGTTTCTGAAATAGTTGCTGAAAAGACACCGTTAAAACCTACGGACCGAACTAAACTGTTTTGCTTTATTTCGACGTAAGTTTATGCTAGAGGAAAACTAGGTTATCATGATTTGCTTTGCGCGTGAATCTTTTAAACGTGCAATTAATATGGAATTGAGTGCAAAATCAAATCAAGCTCCAATACAACAAAGCTCTGTATGCTGTGGTCAAAGGAAAATACTACTGCCTCAGTAGGTTTTGGATTTGCTGATAGATATGGGTTCCACTTAAGTAGATGGGATGGGACAAGGGTTTCAAAAAATCTAAAGCATGACTTTATTCTGTGGAGGAAAAAAACAACTTTGTGTGCAAAGATTTTTTTCCCCCTTGAACTTAAATGTTTTAAGTGTAAACAGCAGGTGGTTAGACTGGTTTCAGATGTTCTTTTCTGGGTTATAGGTTGTAAAATTAGACACAAATAACCCCCCAGTTAGCCATCACGGCTGTGTTAATCCAGGTCTGCTGGAGCATCATCTCTGTGTTGCATCAGACATGGCTTTGGATTTCTCTATAAAGCAGCTGATTCACTCCAGTTCATAATTTTTCCATGCAGGGTTTACAGCAGCTGCTTTGACTGACCTTTTTGTATGGAAATGATTCCCAATGATTGAGGTGATTAATGGATGGTTGCGCAGAAGGAGAAACAATATTTATCCAAGTTGAAAAATGACTTCCACTCTGCAGATGTTTTACTCTGTTTAGGTCTGCTAGCAAAAGCCATTGGTGAGAGCCATTACTGTTTGCCTGTAGGGATTTCTATGGTGGGAATTAAAGGCTTTAATACACCAGTTGAGTGGAAAAAAAGATGACAAGAAAACTGGTTGTGTTTTTGTCAGTGGATTCAGATTAGATTGACGAACTATTGTCTTGTTTTCATGCTAACTCTGTTTGGATGTCAGAGAGACCGACCAAAGGTAGTTATCAGAGATAAATCTTGAGTCATTTCTAGAGGAAACTAACAAACAGAGAAGAATTTCAATGGGTCTTATGTAACGGTGTTACATCCAGTAACCTAACATCTTTTATAGATTGGGCCAGAAAATGAGGAGGATTCAAGTCTCCTCTTCGTGCCACGCACTATTTTGAGTTAAAGCTTTAAGCTGACAGCCTATGAGGCACTTTTGGTGCTGAAAGAGGCCCCAACCATGCAGCTCAACTTGAAACTGCGAGTCATGCAACGAGAGGTCTTGCTTCTGCTAAACGGAAGGGTAGGGCCAAGAGGGAGGAACTGAGATTTGCCTGTCATGTTTTTCCCAGAGAACGACTGCTGGAAAATACTTTAAATAAGTCCTCAGCTTGTCTTAAAAAGGAGCCGATATTCAGGCTGGATAAAGACCTGCTTCAGAGGTTTTGATGTGATACGATGTCATATGTGATAACTGTGGAGTTTTAGTCTGTTACCACTTTCCATAGCTGCACTGAGCTCGACAAAAAAAAGAAAAAAACAGCTTAGGAGTGGATAAAAACAACGTCAAAGGGCTTGAGCTGCTGCGTCTGACCTGTACGCTTTAAAAAACAAATTTGGAGGGATCCGTGGGAACCAAGCCCAACAAACAGTATGCCGCCCCCCCTGTGTGTGGCAGGTGGTCATAATGCTATGGCAGATTGTTGCACGTGGGGCTGTGATGTGCGGTAAACTTCCCCACTGTCCATCTCTGAGGCCATTATCGGAAAGCTTCCATCATATTCAGCAGCTCTGAGCTCTGCTCCATCCCGGCCGGATCGAATGTCTGCGCCCAGCTGGGAAAGTGAGCTTTCAGCTTTGTGGAATTCTTCCAGATCGCACTGGAAATCAATCCACCTGTTAGGTTTACAGTGACGAATCATTTTGGCTCTTTATGTATTTGTTGTATGCAAAAAATTTGTTTTTTTTGCCACATCTTGCATATGTGTGTCTTATTCTCTAAATATGTGTACATTTCTTTACATTCTAGTCGTCACTTTTAATCAGTGTAAAGGATCTATGTGCTCCATGAGTCCTTTAAATGAAGGAATCTGTTGTTGAGTGTGTGTGTGTAGCTGGTTCTGTTCATCATGTGACTTTCTTTGTCACGTGACTCGATGTCAGTGTTTGCTGTGATAAACTCGTCAAAGGCGAACGCAACTGATTGTTTGCCAGTGCAGATGCTTTTTTGTTATCAGTGTCAGCGAGGCCTTCCGGCTGAAACTCGCTGAGCCGATGCGGGCCCCTTCAAACTCGGGTTTGAATTAAAGGCAGAGAAAATGTGGACAGACGGGAAAGCTGCAGAGGAACCATGTTTAAAAAATAAAAATAAAATAAAAAATATCCCAGTGAGAAAGCAGATGGCTCTAGTTTGGGTTTTTCCACTCTCTGCCCAAATGGGCCTTTTGGCTGTTCTGGGGAAAAAGATCTATCTGTGAAAATAACAAGAGGATAAATACTTAATAATTCAGATGATTAGAAGCTGCTGCTTCAGATATGACTCAGTGAGGCACCTAATGTTTGTGGTCAGATGCTTAAACTACCAGGTCCTGGACATCGATTTTACACAATTTATTTCCAGTTCCTACCCATTAGATGTCAATAAGTGAAGCTTCTCGTTGATGCAAAGGAGAGGATTTTTTTTCTGGGATGTTGGAATACTTCCTCTTTTAGGCAGGTTTCATTGATTCACGTAACATTTGGGGAATTTTCAACAGACGCCTTTTCAGACGTATTTGGACAGTTTCAGACAAAAACCTCTGAGTGAAATGAGAAAATCTTTAATGATAATGAGTACTGACACACCTTTTCTTCATAAATGGCAATCACTGATCCTCTACTCATAATCAAATGTTTTTCCCAGCTGCTGTACTGCATCAGGGTCTTGCTGATGTCACCCCCCCGCCGGCGCCGGTGACCACCGCCGCCCCCCACACAGACCCGGCGCGCCCCGACAGAGGAACCTACCGGCTGACCAGCAGCAATGGCACCACCTGCCTGCTGGCCTACATGGGCCTCCAGCTCAACTTCTCCATCAGCTCCCTCCCCCAGAACAAGGTACCGGGGGAACCCCGCTCTCCGCACGCCGCGGCGCCACAAACCCCTCGCGCTCCCGGGGCCTAAAGCAGCTCTGTCCTTTATCCACAGACTCTGCAGCAGGTCCTCAACGTCAACCCCAACACAACCAAGGCCCTCGGCTCGTGCGAAGCAGAGAGCGCCCACCTGAGGCTGACGACCGACGGGGACAAGACCAACCTCACCTTTGTCTTCACCCTGGTCAGTGGGTGGTTTGGCACCGTGTGCTGCACGATAAGGCCACTAGATGGCAGCCGAGGTTTGAGGTTCAGTTGCACTGATGCTGACACGAGCTGTTTGTCCTCAGAATACCACATCAGACAAGTACCACCTGAGCGAGGTGACTGTTAAAGCCGTCTTGCCCGAAATGAAAGGTGAGTGTCTCTCTTTTTTTGGCTCAGTGGTCCGGTAAACTCAATGAACTGTGTCGCCTTTATACAGTAGGCTTTTCAAATGGAGTGCAGCTGTAATCTAAACTGACTACATGCCCTCCCTTTGTCCCGTCGCCCCTCACATTTCACCTCTCCTGCCTCAGATCCCTTCTCGGCTCAGAACAGCAGCCTGAACTACCTCCGGGGGACTCTGGGACGCTCCTACATGTGCCGGGAGGAGCAAACTCTGTCCGTGTCCGCCAACTTCTCCATCAACACCTTCCAGGTGCAGGTGCAGCCCTTTGGTCTGAAGGGAGAGCAGTTTGGAGCAGGTGAGCTCTCCGTCGGCGCGACGCCATAAGAATTCCATTCGGGGCTCTCTCTTATTCCGTCTTCCGTCTTTCTCCCCCCTAAGCTGAGGAATGCCAGCTGGATGAAGACGACATGTTGATCCCCATCATAGTGGGAGCCGCTCTAGCAGGGCTCGTCCTCATCGTGCTCCTGGCCTACCTGATCGGCAGGAAGAGGAGCCACGCCGGTTACCAGACCATCTGAAGTCGCCCGCATTTCACCAGAGCACCCAGGGCCCCGCCCACCCCCTGAATCTAACCACTGTTTTCTGAGACTTAACCCTTCTTCCCCAGCTGTCCCCCCACCCCTCGTCTCTGTGTGTTTGCTGTTCCTCTCCCTCAGTAACACTAGCCTTTTATCACTTTGTGGAAGTAGACATACGCATTTAGAGCTGAAAGGCTCCTTCCTGAAAGGGGGACCCCGCTGGTGGGGGTGTGACGAAGGGAGGAAAACTCGTCTCTGGTATCGGGTGAAGCAGGGGATGCATGTTGATCAGAGGGTCAATGAGAGTCCTCATGCCATGTTGTATTTATGATTTCTGTGAAAGGAATTGTGAGGGATTTTGAGCTTTGCCTGGGTTGTTACTTTAACTTTTCTTGTCCATTTTTGGGGTGGCCATTTTTCTTGGTACGGCCCTCAAAACTCAAGTGTGTTTTAAAGGGAATATTTCAGCCAGTTACAATTAAGCTGTTTAAGACTTGACCTGATGTAGATAGTTATCTACTTATAGTCCCATAGGGAGGTTTTATTGGGTTTTGTTCTAAATTTGAACCCTCTTTTGGAGGGGGTTCGGTTGCTGAAGGGAAATATGTTGCACTGAAATCCTGATAAACGTTGGATAATTCAAATGGCCAAAACGCTCTGGTCAGTGTTGGTCAGTGCCTTTGCAGCTACGGCATAGATAGGATTTAAGTGAAGCCAATATCACAGAGGAACTCACTCCCTCGCTCACACTGACCGCTGCCATGTTTGGGACACGTTCCGTGTCTCGCATAACTTTTACATACTGTTACTACCATTCAACATGCATCGTTTGAAATAGGAGAATCTACAGATATTTATGTTTTGTTTTTCCCTCTCTCATTTAAACATCCATATAATGATTTGATAAAGTTTTAATACATTTGTTTGATTTTTTTTTATTTTTAAAAGATGTCAATAAAGGTGAATGAATGAGGCTCTTTGGCTTTGTGTTTTGCCTTCATGTAGCTCATCATCAGCTGTCAAACCGGTTCTGAGCTCTTTGGTCTCCTGGGCACAACCGGTAGAGGACCAATTAGAAATTTGTTAGTGTGCATGCTGGATTTGCACAAAGATTAAACCAAACGGCTGGAAATGAATAAATTAGGATGCAAAATGGGCTGGAAACAAGGCACTTATTCAACTTCATGTCGCACGTCAGATGTTTGTTTTTGTTTCAAGACAGAACTTGCATTTAACTGCAAAAAAAATGTCCAAAAGATGTCTGCAGAAATGTGTAATTGGATATTGACTTTGCCATTGTAAAAGAAAGAATTTTGTGAATGGCAAATCTCTTAATTTAAAAAAAAAAAAGGATTTGCTGGTAATACATTAATACTTTAAAGAATTTTTAAAAAGCTGACTTAATTTTAAGAAAATGAAATCTAATATAAAGCAAATTATGTGTTTGCAACTCAGGTTACTGAGCTCCAGGATTCATGTTTGAGCTCAGAAATCCACTTGTTTTCATTTGTTTAAAAAGGAAAAAAACACCTGGAATGAGTCTGTGGAATTATTTGGGACTCATTGAAAATGGATTTCTAACTTTGATATCCAGCCACAGGTTTCAGGAGCTTTCAGAAAAAAAATGCTTTCTCAGGTCAACAAAAGATGAAACATGAGGAAAAGTTCCCCAGAGGAAAACTTTTAGTTATTCTTTATTTTCCTTCTTCCACATGAAAACCCTGATTTTCCAAAGTGTTAAACAAGAATAACGACTAAATATCTCTGAAGCAGCAAGTTTATTTTAAGAAAGGAACATTTAAGAAACAAAAACGCTCTGCAACCCATAAATAGATATCCTATCTGGTGGGTTATGTTGTAATAAATCAATTATTACAGAAGAATCCCCAATCAGCTACAGTTATGTTCCTTCAGTCATCCTTAGGAATGTGATTACATTTCAGCTATATGGTTAGTGTATTTTATTATTTAATAATATAACTCTCTCAGAAAAATAAGAAGTAAGAAAAATAATCTTTCTTTTGAAACTTTTGGGAATTCGAACTTTGAGCGTCGCTTGGCATCATGGCCCTCTCGATTCCTCCTCTTGGATTTGCCGTCTGCATTTCTCTCTCAGCTTATTGATGGTTGCCATGGAGAGGCTCCCGGGTTCTGTGAAGATCTTCTGCGTGGGAGCGTTTTGAGAGGAGAGAGTGGTGAGATCGGGGCCGTGCTTTGGTTTCCTCGCTCCGGCCGGCGCCGGCCGTCTCACCTGCATGAAGGCGTGGCAGTCCAGGGTGAAGGCGCCGCTGGTCATCTGCTTGAAGCACTGGCACACGTCGGGCAGGGAGCGGGCCCGCAGGACCTCCGTCTGGTGGTGGAGCACCAGGGTCAGGGCCACGCGGAACAGCACCTTGGAGCCCTCGTAGAAGAGACAGTCCCAGATCCGCAGAACGGTCTGTCAACAAGAGGGATGAGAGGGACGATCACCGTCTACTCGTCGTTCAGCTAAGCAAACCAACTAAAAGTGTTTTTTTCCCCACCTCGATTGGGAGGATGTCGATGTAGAGGCAGATGAACCAGCGCGACACCACCAGGGTCCAGATGCCGGGATACTGGGCCATGAGCTGCCCCACGGCGGGGGCTTTGCTCTTCACCAGCTCTCCGAGGACCTCCTGGTCAGTCCTCAGCCCCAACATGGCCGGGCTGTAATAGTCTGCCATACAACATGTTTATTTGACACAGGTTGAACATCTGGAGTTCAATATCTGCACATCAAACCTGTACAGCTGGAGGTCACGATTAACGAGTAAACAGTTAAAGTCACATTCAATAAATGTAGTGGAATTAGCTGCCTTCCAGATATTTTGAAAATCAATATTTTCAAATCAAAATGGTTGAAAACCATAAAGAAAATCATTCTTGCAGATTTTAAGTGGTTCAAAGTAAAATACACAGAAACAGCATCTCTTTCCACAAACCAGTTGGGACTGTCCAGAGTTTGTGGTGCATTTAATTAATAACTTAAGTGAAGTTAAAGATTGAATCTGCTGACAGACTATGTTACATGATGCAAATGACACACAGGTCTTGTATTTGATTCATTCCTAAAAAAAGAACACATGAAAAGGGCAGAGTGAGCAGCAAGTGGGTTTGAAGTTAAGCTTAGGAGGAGGATGAAGGCGTGTCCTCGTCTGCATGGTGATGCATGAAAAGGGCGTCGCGCATTCCAGCTAAACTGCACACATCGATACAAAGTAAACAAACGCACTGTCACGAAAGCGGTTGTGCTCAACAGGTAAATATATATGCATAGTATATGCCGCTATGACGAAAAACAGCGTCCACAAAAGGTCTGGGAGGGTCTAAGATTTAAGGAGAGCCTGTGGAAAAAGTAAAAAACAAAAACGTGTACAAACTGACAAATGTGGGGCATGTATGAGCAACTGTTCATAAAGTGTACGTCTGATTACATCGAACGACACACTGTGGTTTATGAGAGGCGTTTAAGGGCCACATCAGAGGAACCAGAACTGTGCAAAAAAAGAGTTCATGCGAACTGTGATTTCCGATAATTGTATGTGTACCTGAAGGTAGCTTAAATAAGCCCAAACAGCCCCGCTCTGAACATACAAAGCCTTTGACTGTGTGTGTGTTTAATCCTCAAGCAAACCTGGGAGTATTGTCCCCAACAGAGCATCCATAAGCCAAAAGGATTTCTCTTCATCTTTGGTGATGATGATGAGGTATCCTGCGATGAAGTTCATCCCCTAAAAAACACAGAGAGCGTCTCAGATAACTGACTTTTTACACCACGACAGTTAATGGAAAGAATTTGTGACACTCTGTCGTCAAAGGCAACGACCGCGTCCAGTCACTTATGGAGGGACTTTATTCAATAAGCAAAAGGAATCTCCTTTAAAACAAGATTACAGTACAAAGCAGGCAGAACTTCCAAATGTGAGGGGAAATGTTGCTGTGTGCTGAAATTTGAAAATGACATTTGATTCTGTACTCAACCAAAATTAAATTATGAGAAAGATTTCACAATTTGATTAAAAAATGTTTGTTTTTCTCTAATCAAAGAGGTTTAGTAGATTCCATCAGAATTAAAGAATGTCAGTGGGTAAGAAGCATGGACTGGACTGGAAATAACACAGACTTTTCTAAAGAGAAACTCAGGGTCATGATAAAAAAACATCCAGCTGATGAGGAGGATTGCCTTCTCTGGGTTAATACCACTCTCCTATAACCCTTTAACGCTCCCTACTAAATCAAGAGCAGGCGCACAAAGAAAGGCAAATCATGTTGAAGGTCTCCATTGTGAATGTAAATACAGAGGCTTTGCCTCCAGATGCAAACCACCTGTAACGTTCACGAAGAGACAGGGTCAGATTTTAGAGGGGAGGGCAGCTCTTCTCTTAACAGATTAGAGACCAAAATCAAAGAATCAATTAAAAAGCAGCTGGATCAGCAGCTGGATCAGTCCTGAGGGTCTCAGAAACAGGTTCACCGCAGGGCCAATATCGATATTTAGTGACCCCAATTCATCTTAAGAGAGGAAACTGATATCAGGCTTTCCTTGAAGGGCCTGGGAGCATGTAGTGAGGCCTTTGGGGCGACATAAACCCAAACACTCCAGCCCTGGCGCTTCGTTTGGGATTCTTATGCCTGAAAATGCCTCACCGAGTCAGCGGATCTCCTCGCAGTGGGCTAACTCGGTTGTGTTTGGGTTGTCGATGGTCATTTTTAGTTAAATAACTAAGACTGTCCGGTGCTGCTGCTGCCTCATGCTTTCTGGCTACTTCCAACTTTTGGCAATTCGCCGTGGTCATATTCGGGCTCAGTAATTCCGTTCTGAGAGGAACCTGCTCTTGTTGTGTGTGTGGGCGGACGTCTGGGCCTCACTCACCTGGCAGTAGCCCACCGCCTGGTTGTGGTGTCCGTAGGCCAGCAGCACGTTGAACAGGGCCCTCTGCAGGCCCGGCTCGCCTTGGCTCCGGAACAGGATGTTGTCGGGAAAGGTCCGGTGCATGTCTGTCACGATATGCGGTGGGTTTTGTTTTGAGCTCAGGGTTGGACAGGGACGGGGGATTTTCCCGCCTCCATCTCCTGTCCGGCACCTGTGTGAATGGTGTCCCTCAGCCGGGCGTCGTGCTCCATGGCCAGCAGTGACCGGTAGTAGCCCGGCCTGCTCTCCAGCTGCTCCTGGGCGCCGCTGGCCGCCATCCAGATCCGGGCGCGGTGCTCGTTCGGCACGCCTTTCCGCACGAATCTCTTCACTTCACAAAAAACAGACGTTTCCGCAGTTACATCTCAAAGCTGAAAAAACTGAAAGCTGCGAGCCCTGGAGCTGGCCTCTCTGCACCTGTCAGGTTCTTCTCCACGTGAGGCGTCTCCTCCAGGAGCTTGGACCATCTCATGGACCTCCTGTGGAGCACGGACACGTACTCGCTCATCATGCCTGTGTAGGACTCAAAATCGTGGCGCCTCTCGAAACCGTAGGGGTCGATCCTGCTGGGACAGACGCAGTTCAGAGACAGGCCGATAAACACCATCAACCCCCCCCCACCCTTCTCCTTCTCTTGTTCTGGGCCTCCATAGCAGCCTCTGCTGGGTAGAGTTTCTGTGGCAGGGCGATCGGATGCCCTGGCCGCATGAATAGTTAGGCATCGAATTACTTCTGAGTAATATGAGGAGCCAGGGACACAATTCAAACCCAAAAACCAGCTCGCATTTGTTCCTTAAACAATCAAACGGGAGCGTTTTGAACGTCGTTTGAAGAGTTTTACAGAGGAAAACTGGTAGGTTCGGGGGGAAAGAAAGAGGATGTAACGAAAAGGTCAGCATTCAGGAAGCAGCAGGCCCTCACACCGAGTAAAGAAACCAGGGCTGACGATGCGTAGCTCTCAAAATGTCAAAGAAAAAGGTGACACGGCCTGCAGATATGGAGAAGCCTACCTCTCAGCGTCCTTCTGAGGCTCCTGAGGCTGCGGGGCAGCTCCTTTGCTCTCCGTCTCCATGTGCTGCAGGCAGGAGGGGTCCACCGGAGCAAAAAGAAAACAGCCCGCAACAACCGGGTTATTTCATCCTCACTCCCTGAAGGCGAACAGGCCGCTGCGACGGTAAATAACAAAGCAGCCGGAGGTTCGGAGGCTCACCTTACAGCGTGCACCCAGAGGAGGAGCCAGGGACCATCCACAGGTGCAAGCTGTATTTGCACACAAAACAAATTGGAGGAAGAGAAGTTCTGTTTGCTCTCCTGTCCTCGCACATAATACTGCTCATAAGCACCGACTGTGGGAGACAATACTGACATTGTTGCACGGGTTCCTGATCTTATCCCTCTGCCTTTTTAAAAGGTATAATTCTATTTCTGAGGCCTCAGATCATCTAAAGCGTGAAAAAAAAGAGTTGATATTAACACTTGGCTGAACATCTCACAACTAATAAAAGGGAAATAGCAACATATCATCAATTTGCTGGGTATGAAAAGCAGGGAGACCATAGGAATCCAGAGAAATTGGCCACATTTCGGCAATCGTCTTGCATAACTTATTAGTTACTTAAACTACACTACTAAGATGTTTGTACAAGTAAAAGCAAAAATGGGAGTTTTGGACATAATTGAGAGCATAGATGAATTATCCAATGACATATTAACATCATTATCATTATCCAAGAGTGAAAAATAAAGCAAGACACACAACGGGTAAAGACACAAGTCTAAAAGCCTCAATCTTCACAAAACTGTACAAAGTAAATGCACTTTCGTTTATGGAAAAACTCATGCTTTATTCATCTTTCTTAAATGAACAATATACTTATGCTACTTACATGATGTATCAACAATATGTCCTGATGTTCACTACCTTTAGTAACACTGAACAGACAGGCTGGAGCAGGAACAGAAATGTGAAACAAACAGGTGTTGATTCTTAAGGCTTACTTTTTCGTCCTGTTGTTGCCCTCTTTAGTGTCCTGACTGCTGAACTAGGGGCTTCTCACTGCCATAACATACAGATATGTGCCATGCAACCCTAAAGGTCGGTCTCAAATGCTGCTAAATCTTCACTTCAGCGTGGGGTAAATTAAAAAAACACACAAAAAAAAACAACAACCTCGGGGGGTTAAACTGATAAAAACAAAACTGTTCCTTCCAGATTTTCTTTTTTTTTTTAAAGGACTGCCTTTGTTACATCAGATAAACTTTAAACTGATATTATTCAGACCAAGGAATACTACAAATCTGCGTGGGTTATCTAAACCAGAGCACTGCCTTGACTTGGATGAAAATTTCCGTGTGAATCCAGCCTGAGGTGACGGAGAATGAGTTGAACATGCTTTTTTCAATGAGAAGCTCACAATTCTATGACTTGACGTCCAACAAACAATGAAACCAAACAGCGTTATCATCCACAATATTGAGGCATCCTGTTAGAGATCTTAGCATTTTACTGTACATAAAACAATCATCTTATGCATTTAGAAATCCAACGTATTTATATTATTCTTCATATAGCTCTCTTTGTAAACTGTCCCAATAGATACAGTATGTACAGTAAAAACTGCAACAGTTCTGTTGGTGCTGGTGTAGCGAGCACTCTGTCCCAACGTTAGAGTAAGACATGGGATGTTTCGCACAGTCATTCAGAGCTTCATATAACAAAACAAAT